CGAGAAGGCCCCGGAGTTCGCTGTGGACTCGTCGCCCCTCCGTGGTAGAGGGCTCAGGCATCGCTCGGACCAGTATTGCCGCCGCAGCGACGTTCTGGCTAGCGCGATTGAAGACAAGGGGTTGCTCGCCCCCTTCATCATTGTTAATGCGGCGGTTGACGTCGCGAGCCCCCAACCGGGCCGTTCCGCCATTGCCGCGCCCCCGTTGCTCTTGCTCGAGGGTGGCTAGGAGTTGCTGCAGGAGGAGTCGATCTTGCTCGACCTTGGCTTGAAGCTCACGGAGCTGCTCTAGGTCTATGCGTCGAAGTTGCTCGAGGGTGGGGATACCTACCGCCGCTGGCGGGGACCCCGTGCGTGGTGGTGTGGCGTTGGCTGCCCTTCCTCCATCGTTGCCCGTGCTAGGTATTCCGAGTCCGACGTGGAAACACTCACGAGTCGGGTCGTAAGCGTCCTCGCCGTCGGAATTGGAATGGCCGAAGCAGTAGTCGCTCGTGATCATAAAGCGGCGCATCGCCTTAGGGTCGTGAATCCTGGAGAAGTCTGCTCCAACCCATGCCTCGTCCTCCTCCAAGGAGTCAGAGTGGGGGTGGATTGGAGTTGTGACTATGGGGTTATGGGCATGACGTTGATGAATGGAGACGAGGGCGGTGGCGTAGGAGGCGGCGACATTGGTCAGCCCGAAAGGGTACGGGGATGGCGCCGTCGCCATGCTCTGCTCCGTCAGAGCTGGCTTCTCAGGAGGAGGCGGGATAGAGTTTGATGATGGGGTGTCACTGTGCGCCACCGGCCCTTTTCCCCTGTCGAGGCTTAAGCCGGATAGGTCCCCGTGTAGGGACTCTATGCCAGCAGCGGGGTATGGGATTCCGGTGGAGCACAGATCGGCGTTTTGTACTTGCGTGGTGTTAGGGTGGACTCGCCCACGCGGCGCTCGGCGAGCTTGACGGGAGCGGCGGCTCGGGCGCCGTCATGCCATGGTGCAAGTACGCTAAAGGCAAGACGCCGTCGCTTGGTCGATGGCGCTCTGGGTGAGAGGAGTACCATGTCGTACTCAAGCCCTAGAGACATGAATTCTAGGCTCCCGAACCAGACGATCGTCCCGAGACACAACGATCGCACGGGATCTGCCATCCGGAATCTGGTGGGATGACTAAGCTGACACGCATAGGCCCCTATCTGGCGCGCCAAATGTTGGAGTTTCGGAACCGGGGGTCCTTAACCGACTAGTGAATTTGTGCTGCGTGCTCCCAATTCCGGATGGAGATGCAAAGAGACACAAGGTTTATACTGGTTCGGGCAATGGATGCCCTACGTCCAGTCTGAGAAGGTGTTCTTGTATTCCTTGCACCGGGGTGCTCATAGTAGGGGGTTACAAGCTAGGCGAGAGAGGGAGTTCGTCCTAGATCTCTGTGAGGGGAGGTGATATCAAATTACAGAACGAGGCGTGTTGTTCGTGCGAGTATCTGTGATTCTCTCCGTCGTCCTAGAAACGGTCCTGGCTGCCTCCTTTTATAGCCGCAAGGAGAAAACCAGGAGTACATAAGAGAGCTACACGTGGAGCAAGGACTATTCGATGACGATTTACTACCGGAGCAAAGATGGCGTTGTCGTGGGAGTTCCCGTAGATGTCTAATCGGTATGGTCTTCACTGCAAGTAACATGCTGCGCATTTATTGACTTGGTGGATTGTAGAGGCTCGGCGGCCTTCGTATCCGGTCGTGCCGAGGCCTGTCGTGCCGAGGCCTGTTATGTCGAGGCCTATTGTGCCGAGGCCTACCGTGCTTAGGGCCCGAGAAGTGACCTGTGCGGATCTGCGGGTCTCAGCAGCCCATCAAAGCGGGATAGTGCGAGACGTCGCCCTCTGTGATCTGCACTGTGTTGTCGTGAGGGATGGTAAAAAGGTGATCGACCGCTGTCCGTCGCTCTGTTGCGGCCTAAGACCGCCGATAGTGGCTTACGTAGTGGGTGCGGCCGAGCGCATTAATCGGATGTGACACCGCCGCCAGAGAGACTTTTTGAGGCGGAGGCGACGAGGTTGTGGGATTTGAGCCCGGCCTCGGGCGAGGCGCGCGCCGGCCGATTCGTCCGAGGCCCTTCCGAGGGGGTCTCGGGCGGCGAGGCGTAGTAAGATCGGTGAATCCGAGGCCCCGCCGAGGGGCTCGAGCGAGACGGAGTGGTCGGTCCACCGATTCCGAGGCTACAGAACCCATTCTCGACTCCCCACGCTATGGATGTCCTTGGTGCAGGAGTTAGGCAAAGACAGTGGTCGGTAACCCCCCGCCTGCAGGCCGCCTCGATGGCGGGGTGACGCGACCGACGTGTAGCCGGCCACTCTTCGCCGCTCTGTGCCATCGTAAAGTCCCCGCGGAGTGGTTGGGCGCTGGATGTGACGCTTGGTCGAGCAGCTTGGTCAAAAAGGCGGTCACGGGTTGGTGCCGAGCCGGCCTCGCTGAATCGGAGAATCGGACTTCTTCCGAGGCCCCAGACGAGGGGGGCTCGACGCTGGGGGCCTCGGCGAGGCGGTCTCGGGCGAGTCGGAGAACCGTTTGCTTCCGTTGGGGCTCGGTGACGGGGTCTCGGGCGAATCGGAGATTTCGGCCGAGACCTCGTTTGTTTATTCCGTTGGTTCTATTTTTAGGGTCTAAGCGGTTTCTCGATCTTTGCTTGGGGTACCCCATTTTCTGGTATTCGACAGGTTTCATCAATTCACCAAAACCAAACTAGAGATTTCATAGCCCCCCTCAGCCCCCTTCCCTCCACCACTGGTAGTGATAGTGAGGATGAGGAGCCTTTCAAAGGAGGAATTCATAGAGCTATTACAACAGACCCATTCCCTCATGAACAAGAAGAGGGAGGAGTTCAAGTAATTGTGCAAGAGGCACAAGGCTCTTGATCAATCTCTTGAGGAGCACTTGGCTACTCATTAGGCATTTATTAAAACTCATGAAAAGTTGAAGGAGGCTCACTCTTTTCTTCTTGCACAAAAGAAGGAGCCTATTAAAATAGCAAGTGTATGAGTAACTTGTGATATTTTTGATGAATCTATTTGTGCTCCTATTCTTGTTGCCGCTAACTCTTCTTGTAGCACTACCAAGAAGGATTGATATTGTTTCTATAAATTTAATTAACCTTAAGAAAATTTGGCTTAGTTTAAATATAGAATTTACAATTTTTTAGGATAGAGGAAAATAAATTCTAAAATGCAAGATACCTTTACTAGTTTTATTTTATAAGTAAAAAACTAGGTTTTATCAAGTTTACCAAAGATACATTAACACCTTTGATAAAAAAAGATACATTAACACCTACAAATAAATAAATATATAAAAAAATTTACAGTTACGTTATTATATAGCTAAAAGAGTGAAATGCATGGTGCATACTATCTTTTTCATATTCTTATTGAGATACATGTGATCATTTGCCACATGTATTGTTTGTAGTTCATTTGAAGAGTAAACTTTGAAGGAATCACTCGAAAAAGTTGAAGAACCTACCCTGATTGTTTAGACCCAAATAAAAGATATAGAAAATGTTTAAAAACCACGTGCATTTTTTACTCTAAGGCTTTGTCTAGTTCCTCCCTAAAACTTTACATTCTATCACATCGAATGTTTGGATACATGCATCGAGTATTAAATATAGACTTAAAAAATAACTAATTGCACAGATTACGACTACTTTGCGAGACGAATCATTTAAGCCTAATTAGTCCATGTTTTGACAATAAAATACTACAATAACACATATGCTAGGGACAGATTAATTAGGTTTGTTTCGCGGGTTACTGACGGATTCTGTAATTTGTTTTTTAATACGACACCCCATGTACATCGATGTGATACCCCCACTTTACCCCTGAATCTAAGGCCCTGTTTAGTTTCCAAAAATGTTCACCCCAAAATATCACATTAAATCTTGCGGCACATGCATGGAGCATTAAATATAGACGAAAAAAAATTAATTGCACAGTTTAGTTGGAAATCGCGAGACGAATCTTTTAAACCAAATTAGTCCACGAAAAGCCTTAAGTGCTACAGTAACCCACATATGCTAATGACCGATTAATTAGTATCATTAGATTCGTCTCGTAGTTTCTTGATGGGTTCTGTAATTTATTTTTTTATTAATATCTAAAACCTCTCCCGACATCCTTCCGACACATCCTGTATCCAAAATTTTTGAAATCACCAACTAAACACCGCACCACCTAAAAACACGTTTCATGGAAGGAGTACGAATGTCGCAGTTAGGTATGGTTTGTGGTTGGAGCGCGCGTTTAGTTTCCAAAGTTGGATCTTGGCTACTGTAGCACGTTCGTTTTTATTTGGTAAATAATGTTCAATCATGGACTAATTAGGCTCAAAACGTTCGTCTCGCAATTTCCCACCAAACTGTGCAATTAGTTTTTTTTTCCGTCTACATTTAATGCTTCATGTACGAACCGTAAACATTCGATGTGATATGTACTGTAGCAACTTTTTAGAATTTGAGCTCAACGAAGAGCTCCTTCGTCGTCGCATCATGCCAATGATGTCATGTCAGCAGTGACGGGGGAGGCCGCGAATTGATGGTAGAGCAAGCTGTTGGGGGACACCGACGGGGGGAAGACGACGACGGAACGAGAGATTGAGAGTCCAGCCGGCGGGGGTGCGATGTCCCTTTTTGTCAGCCTCTCAGCCGTCAGCCCCCGTGTGCAGTGCCTGTTCCTCCTCTGCCACAGGGGTGGGGGTGGGTGAGGTGGACGACTAATTCGTCTTCCGATTCACCCCCCGCGGGCAATCGACTGGTCGGGCTCGGGGGAAGAACTAGAGTGCTGGAGGTCACGCTCGTGTTCGGCGAGGCCAATTATTATATTAATTATAGTTGGGGCTCCATACGTGCTTGGCCTCCTTCCCTTCTTCTGCCCTTGCTTGGACCTACACCTGGAGTAGCAACCTCCCTTCTCCGTGGAAGAAGAGGAGAAGAGGAGGTAGCTCGCTCAGGCGCCACCGGCCGCCGCGATGGATGCGGAGACCGGAGATACCCGGTCTCCCCTGCTGCCGCGTCACCTTCCCAGCCAGACGCAGGTAACCGAATCCCCCAATCCCCTCCGCCCTCCTCCTTGTTCGCGTCTCCCGGTTCGATTCATCCTTGCTACAGTTCTACTGCTGCTCTGCTTCTTCACTGGAGTACATGTATTTGTTCACCTACCACGGCTTAATTTGTAGTGTCCGAAACTCCGAATGAATTGGATCTTATGTTTAACCAAACCATGCTTGCTGATATTTACTCTTCTTAATATTGCTATGTATGGTTCATTGGTTCAGAAAGAAAGAAAGAAAAAACAAACACGACTTGTTGTTTTCTTTCACCAATACTCTCCATGCTTTGTTTCCTCGTTTCAGTCCCACAACATGGTGATTTCTTTTTCTCCCTGCAGGTTTCCTCAGCGAATCAGCACTATAACAAGCCCTTCAGCTGGAAGGCCCCAGCCATTATTTTGGGTATGTCTCATCTCATCTTAACACGACCATATGTTAAGCACTAAGCAGTGTACTCACATGCCTGTCATGTCCTTGCATTATGTTCACTCGTAAATGTTATCTACCAAGCTGTTTGTCTAAGCACTCGTGCTGCTTCGTATCCCAGGCTTCGAATTCTTGGAGAGCATTGCTTACTCTGGTATAGCACTCAACTTGGTCGTATATCTTGGAACCGTCCTCCATGGAACCACTGCCTCCAATGCTGCAACCGTTGATGCGTGGAATGGTGCCACGTTTCTTACACCGGTCCTTGGAGCCTTTCTTGCTGATACATACTGGGGAAAGTACAAGACCGCAGCTATCTCTATAATATTCTACGTCGTTGTAAGTGCAGGCACCATCTTCATACAGTACTAATCCTCTTCCGCTATGTGCCCCGTCTTATGTTCATAACAATTGTCTGCAAATAGGGCTTGCTCATAATTACTGCCTCTGCTCTCATACCATCCCTACGGCCTGCCTCATGTGAAGGCGGTTCTTGCCCTCCTGCAACAGGGTTTCAGTATTTTGTGCTCTTTGGTTCATTGTACCTCATTTCCATTGGTACGGGGGGCGTCAAGTCAGCTTTACTTCCCCTCGGAGCGGATCAATACAATGATGCAAACCCCGAAGAGAGTAAAAGCAAACAATTGTTCTTCAGTTGGTTCTTCATGGCTGTCAACCTCGGAGTGTTCATCTCTGGCACTGTTCTTGTCTGGATACAGCAGAATGTTGCTTGGTCTTTTGGATTTGGCATCTCCTCGATATGCCTTGTTATCGCCGCAGTTGCCTTTTTGGTTGGAACACCGTTTTACAGGGTTCAACTTCCAACTGGGAGCCCACTCAAGAGTATAGTAATGGTGTTTGTTGCCTCTTTTAAGAAGAGAAGAGTGGCGCTTCCTGCTGGTAGCACGCTGTTGTTTGAAGGGGATGACGCTGAATCGAGCAGCATAGTGCCAAACAAATTAGAACACACTGATGAATTCAGGTATACCTATCACTTTGTCCCGATAATGGACTTCAGAGCTAGCATAGCAGGAAAAGTTGACTTAAATTTACACTTTAGTTTAATTGCTTCATTACCTATATACAAAGAGTAAAGAGGCATTTGAAAGATAGACAGGGTCTAATCTCGCTACTGCTCACCAGAACCTGCAATTATGCAGGACTGAAACTTTGTATGATGAAAGAAAGCATGTCTTGGCCAAAAATAAATACAAAATTATTGGAAGAAGTCAACAACTCTGAAATGCTCCTCTGAATTATGTGATTTGAGCAATAAAATGACTATTCTAGATGTGGACCCTAGACCTGAAAGTTTACACCATACTGCATATAGTTTTGAAATCCCATGAACAAAAGGTATCTTATGAACTGTTATGTTTGAAATACAGGTCTGGTGTTTTTTGGTGGGGTGGGGGGTACCCATGCTACTCATCTTATTTTTCGAATCAACTCCTAAATGTACCTTGAGTTGAGAACAAAATATTTTCTGGATCTCAAAAGTTTGCTTCACTGTACTGGAAATAGCTTCAAAATCATGTGAAGAAAGTAGCTGATAAAACTGTTATATGTTCTGAAAAGATGAACTCTAATATAGATGGGCCTGTTGGAGAAAGATAATACCCAGGCAACTCAATTGAAGATACAATGTAGCCCTGTTTGCATATGGGATTGAATTAATGTCTCTCTCCTAACTGTCGTGGACATTTCTTTGTCATATTAAATGCTCTCTCCTAACTGTGATTGACATATTTTTTGCCATCTTCTGTTAGATAAGGCCTATTCCTTTCTCATCCTAGAACTACATATTTTCTTGATCGATTGAGGCATTTTCCTCTTGAAGATAAGATTTTGTTTAGCGCCATGTTATGGACTCTTTTTTGTAAATTGATTGATGTACTTTCTGTAATCCTTTGTTTGGAATTCTGCTAAATATATCTGAACTCATCCATTCAGGTGCTTAGATAAGGCTGCTGTGGTTGTAGAGGACCAAGAGACGAAGGACAGACATCGCACATGGCTACTATGTACCGTAACCCAGGTGGAGGAAGTGAAGATTCTGATCCGGATGCTTCCAATATGGTTCACCTGTGTCTTCTATTCGGCTGCAATGAGCCAGACTGCTACTACTTTCATTCAGCAGGGGAACGCGATGAACACTAAGATTGGATCCTTCTCCGTGCCCGCTGCCTCTATGAACTCTGCCGAGGTGATCTTCATGCTTGTCTGGGTTGTGTTCCAGGACAGCATCGTCATCCCGATAGCCAGGAGGTACACCGGGAACCCGATGGGACTGACGCTGCTTCAGCGGATGGGCGTCGGGCGGTTGCTGGCGATCCCATCTCTGGCAGCAGCAGCACTGGTGGAGACTTGGAGACTGCGCAGCGTGAGGGCCGGGCATAACCTGAGCATCGGGTGGCAGCTCCCACAGTTTGTGATCCTGGCCTGCTCCGACGTGTTCTGTGGCATCGCGCAGCTGGAGTTCTTCTATGCGGAGGCGCCTGCGTCGATGCGCAGCCTGTGCTCGGCGTTCCAGTTCCTGGCCATGTCGCTGGCGTACTACGTGAACACGCTGGTGGTCTCATTGGTGGCGGCCGTGACCACGGCCTGGGGCGGCCAGGGCTGGCTCCCCGCTGACCTCAACAACGGCCATCTGGACTACTACTTCTGGCTGTGGACGGGGATCAGTGTGGTGAACTATGTCGTATACACGGCATTTGCAAGGCGTTATACGGTCAAGAAGGTTGTCTGTCAGTAAGGTTCCAGATGTATCCTACTGTATTTTGCAGTGTACACTACTCCGGAACCAAGACTTTTGTTGTTTCATTTGAATGCATGGACCTCTGTACTAGCCTACTAGGATGATCCATCGTACTGTCTTGTCTTACGACTTGCATAAATATTTTTCATGGAAAAAGGAAGAGAATTGGTATGCATAATATGCAGATTTGGTTGTTGTGTTGGTACCAGGTGATTGGGTGTTTCTTTGCCTGATGTAACTTTGCAACTTCCTTTGCTCTGTTTAATCTGATGGAACTGGGCAGTTGAGATTGAGATCTCATGTCCCCTGACTGGTAGCAAAGGAGCGAGCATTACTTTATTTGTTGCTTTACTTGTGCAGCCGGTGGTGTTCATGGAAAGCATTTAGGCTCCTAGTTGGCTTTCGGTGATTAATGACAATACAAGATTACTATGATTAACGTGTGTTTTGTAGAGGCAATTAAGTTAGGTCATGGTAATGGAGATCGATTGGGCAATCAAGGTGGTCATGCCCCTACGATGGAAATTATTTCGGTTTTCAAAGGATGGACGAGAAGGTTAAGGATGGATTAGTTCTAAATATCGATTGGAGTTGGAGAGACACTTAGAATAGTTTAGAACTCTGTTTTTTCTTTGTCCGTACTATTAAGGGGGTATGGACGGATAGCTTGACCTAGGTGAGTCTAGTGAGTTAGGTGTGGTGCACATTTGTTTAAACTAGCACTAGGTAGCTCCAAAAACCGCCCTTAGATCCAATGGAGCAAACTTCATTCACGTATGATCGAGAGTTGAAAGTGAATGGAGGATCAAATACTGACCGGACGCTGGCTCCGGTGTGTCTGGACGCTGGCTCAGGGTCCGGTCAGTTCATTTGACCAAGGTGATTACGTCTGGTTTGACCGGACGCTGAGAGGTGAAGTGACCGGACGCTGAGAGTCTGCGTCCGGTCGACTCCAGTAAGGTTTCAGAGAGGGGAAATTGCGACCGGATGCGTCCGGTCAGTGCTGATCAGACGCTGCCTAGCGTCCGGTCACACTGTAAACACTGAAGTTCGGGGTGTACTGACCGGAGCGTCCGATCAACATGACCGGAGCGTCCAGTCACCCCGCAGAGGCACATAACGGTTCGTTTTTCAGCCGGTGTTATAAATACACCCTCCACTAGTGTGTGGGGGTACTTTTGCTCATTCCAATAGCTGAGAAATACCTTAGAGAGTGCCAAGAAGAGCAAGGTCCTAGTGAGGTGATTGAGATTTGAGAATCCCAAAGAGAGCCCTCATTAGTGAGATCAAGAGTAGCAAAGTGTGCATCCACCCTTCTCATTAGACTTATCACGGTCAAGTGAGAGTTCGTACTGGTTACTCTTGGTGATCGCCATCATCTAGACGGCTTGGTGGTGATTGGGAGTTTGGTGATTATCCGGAGAGCTTGTGGATGACCCAACTCAAGTTGTGAGCGGTTGTGGGTGATTCACCGCGACGGAGTGTCGAAGAATCAACCCATAGAGAGCACTTGATCCTTGCGCGGATCAAGAGGGAGCTACACCCTTGCGCGGGTGCTCCAACGAGGACTAGTGGGAGTGGCGACTCTCGGATACCTCGACAAAACATCGCCGCGTTTTCTCTCCTCTCTTTACTTTGAGCATTTACTTTGAGCAATTCAATTCTTGTTTTTACATTTATATAATTGCCATGCTAGAGTAGGATTGGAACTTAGGTTGCAAGTCTTTTGTGCGGTAGAACAACTAGAAACACTTTCTAGGCACAAGGGGTTAATTGGGCTAACCATAGGATTTAATTATTGCAAAGAAATTTAGAATTAGCCCAATTCACCCCCCCCCCTTTTTGGACATCTTGATCCTTTCAATTGGTATCGGAGCCTCGTGCTCACATATTTAGACTTAACCGCCTATAGAAATATGTCTCACGGGGATGGACCTCCTCCTATCTTTGAGGGGAACGATTTTCCTTATTGGAAAATTCGTATGGAGGCGTACTTAGAAGCTCTAGATGTTGGAATACTTAGAACCGCCTCGCAAGGCTTTCCAAAACCTAAGGATCCCGCACACCCACAAGGCGATGAGGTGAATTATGAAAAATGGAATGCAAAGGCTCGCAACACCATCTTTAGAGGCCTTTGCAAAGATGTGTTCAATTGAGTGAGGAACCACAAAGACGCCCATGCACTATGGTCGGACATTTGTGCGCTTCATGAGGGAACAAAGAGTGAGCGTGAGAAACGCTATCATCTTATCATGAAAGAGCTCAACTCTTTTGAAATGCTTCCTAAAGAATATGCTAATGAGATGTATTCACGTTTGAATGTTCTTGTAGAGGAAGTTAATGGGCTTGGACTCACTCAAATGCAACCATCCGATGTTGTGAGAAAGATCTTGAGTGTCCTCCCCATTGACAAATATGGGCATATTGTGACCGTGCTACATCAAGGTGATCTTTCTACCGCTACACCAACACAAATCTTGGGAAAGATCAATGCTCATGAGATGTACATGCACATCACACCTCAAGATGGCTCATCCTCTACAAAGAAGAAAGAAAAAGACTTAGCATTCAAAGCTAGCCAAGAGAAAGGGAAAGCAAGGCTTGAGTACGAGAGCTCAAGTGATGATGAAGTTGATGATGAAAGTCTTGCTCTCATGGTGAAGAAAACCGTCAAGATGCTAAAGAAGCTCAACAAGAGTGGCAAGAAGTTCTTCACAAGCTCTAGAAGGAAGCCAATCTCCGAGATGGATTGCTATAATTGTGGAGAACTTGGTCATCTAGCTCACAAATGCACAAAGCCCAAGAAAGACAAGTTCAAGAATAAGAACAAGAGCAAGAAAGATGACTCAAGCAATGAAGATGAAGATGAGAAGAAAAAGAACAAGCCATACAAGAAAAGAGATGGCAAGAAGGACTTCCACAAGAAGAAGAAGAAGAGTGGAAAGGCTTACATCGTCGGTGATTGGCTCACGGACATTGATTCATCTAGTGAATCATCCGATGATGAAAGTGACGACGTGAAGGTGGCCGCTATTATTATTGACTCTTCATCATCTTCGCCGCCACCACCGCCATCATCCTCTACACACCTATGCCTTATGGCCAAAGGTGAACGAAAGGTATCACATGATGATAATAGTAGTGGTGATGATCATGCTCATAATGATGATAGTGATAGTGATAGCGATGATGATGAATATGAATCACCTTCTTATGATGATCTTGCTAAATTGCTAAAGAAATACACTAAGATCATTATAAAGACTAAAGCTAAAAATAAAAAGCTTGAGATTAAGAATGATTCTCTCTTAGCTAAATGTGACATAGCCGAAAAGTCTAGTGTTGAGCTTAGAGAAGCAAATAAAGCTATGTCATCCAAACTCAAGGAGCTCAAATCTTCTAAGAAAGAGCTTAAAGATAAACATGATAAGTTTGAGTGGGTGCACAAAGAGCTCATCACTAGCCACAATAAGCTAAAAGAAGAATATACCACTCTTAAGATTAATCATGATAATATTGTTATTGCTCAAGAATTTCTATCCAATGAGCCACATGATGATACTAACCATGTTGTTAAGATTGATATAGCTACATCATGTGATGACTTGATCATTGAGAGCATTGAGCAAGGTTCTAGTAGTAAGGGCAAGCAAGTGATTGAGGCCGATAATTATGATGAGTTTGTCAAGCTCAAGAGTGGCAATACAAAGCTCAAGAAAGATCTTAAAGAAATCAAAAGCCACAACATAATTGTGCTAGAAACTCTTGATCATGATGGTGACTTGATCCTTGAGAATGAGAAGCTCAAAGAAGAAAATAAGAAGCTCAAGGAAGAGAAGAACAATGATGCTCTCAAGGAAGAGAACAAGAACCTCAAGTTAGAGAAAGAGCATCTCAAGATTAGATTGAGCAAGTTCACTAGATGCAAGTATCTTTCAAGTGAGCTCCTAATGAACACCGTCATGAAGATGGATAGAAGTGACATTGGGTACATAGCAAATCAAGAGAAGAAGAAGGCTCAAGCTCAACAACAACAATCAAAGCCAAAGCCAAAGCCAAAGAGATGCTTTGAGTGTGGACAAGAAGGCCACTTTGCTCATGAGTGCCAAACTCCACCACCACAACCATTGCCTAAGCATGCTAGACCCTTTGCCTTCAATGCTCACTACATGCTTAGAAAGGATTCTAGTGAAAAGATGAAAGTGATGTTCTTAGGACCTCCCAATAAGAATAGGTCCTAAAAAATTTGGGTTATAAAGTCATTTGTTGAGAAGATGAAGGGCCCTCAACAAGTTTGGGTTCCTAAAGCTTGATCTCTTGTGTGTAGGCAAACTACAAGACCGGTGAAAATCATTGGGTGATTGATAGTGGTTGCACACAACATATGACCGGTGATCCTCGTATGTTCACCTCACTAGATGAAGAAGTATATGGACAAGAAAGAATCACATTCAGGGATAATTCAAAGGGCAAGGTTAAAGGATTGGGCAAAGTGGCAATATCAAATGATCATTCAATCTCCAATGTGCTATATGTTGTTTCATTGAGCTTCAACTTGCTATCCGTTGGGCAATTGTGTGATCTTGACTTCCAATGCTTGTTTACCGAGAGAGAAGTTGTTGTATCTAAGAAGGATGATGATCAAGTGATATTCAAAGGATTTAGATACAATAACCTATATTTAGTGGACTTCACCTCCGAAGATGCAAATTTGAAGGCTTGCCTATTCACCAAAACAACACTTGGATGGCTATGGCATAGAAGACTTGCTCATGTTGGGATGAGCTCACTCAAGAAGCTAATGAAGAATGATTTGGTGAGAGGATTGAAGGATGTGAGGTTTGAGAAGGACAAGCTTTGTAGTGCATGTCAAGCCGGCAAGCAAGTTACAAATACTCATCCAACCAAAGTTTTCATGTCAACCACAAGAGTGTTAGAACTCCTTCACATGGATTTATTTGGACCAACAACATATAAGAGTTTGGGAGGAAATCTTT